CAAGAGGGAAGGCAAGGAGAGAAGAGAAAGGCAAGGAGTAGACAGAAACTAAGAACAGGGTAGGGAAAGAGTCAGAAGATAGGGAAGACACACTATAAGAGGGAGCAAGTCAAGAGGAAACCCTTGAAACTTAAAGTATTATAATCATCCAATACCAATAAAGAAGGATCAAAAGAAAGAAGAGTAAGAAAAATGAAAATAGAGAATAGAAAGAAAAGAAAAACAAACAAAAACAACCTAGATGGCCTACATCCAACAAAGTAGCAAGGTTATAATAACAATTACCAAAGTAACACTAGAAACAAGAATTAAAAACCTTCACACAGTTGTTACAGACTTAACCCAGGGCTTGCACACAACTCCCTCTATACTGGCATCACCATCTGGTTTCGATTAACCACACTGTTCCCCCTGTGGGCCAAAAAAATGGTCTGTCTGAAGCCCTGAGGACTGTTGCTTCCTCCTAACTTGTTTTCTAGTTTCAAACTTTGGGTGTCTCCCACCCCACCCCAGACCTCTGTGGATCTGATTACCTTGATGGATTTGGAGGGTGAATATTGTGAACTTTTCCCATGTCTTCCTTCCACAGGTTTTTCTTATTGTATGGGCAAAAAAACTGCTTGCCCAGGTGCTGATCCCCACCGATGTCTATCTGTTTCAGGTGCCCCATCCACAGAAACAGCAGGAGGGGTGTCCCTCTACCTTGCCCCAGTTTCTCAGAGCCCTGGGGTGCAGAGTCACTGAGTTATTCTCTGACTTTGTTCTGTGTAATTGTCACAGACCAGATTTCCCCTTCCTTCTTTAGCTCTCAGCTGGTCGTTGCTCTGTGCCATCTCCCCACAGGGGCTCACTGACAGGGTTCAACATAGAGCACTCCCATTGTATGTGGGAGGAAAGGCAGATTTTTGTTGTTTTTTGTTTTGGTACCAGGGATTGAACTCAGGTCCTTGCACTTGCAAGGCAAAACCACTGAGCTAAATCCCTGGCCCAGGCAGATTGTTGTTATTATTATTACTATTGTCTGTGTTGGGGAGATCTCTCTCCCCAGTGTTCTGCTGCCCACTGGCTAGCCCTGTGTGGCAATTAAATTTTAACCCATTCTGTTTTTGGCTTCTTTGAGCCTCTGGGTTGGAAGCATCTCACTTTACTGTGCCCAGTGGCGAGGACAGCCCTGACTGTGGATCTATTCAGTCTGCATTCCAGCACTGAAGGGCTATGTTGCTCCTTCCCTCAGGTCCTTTTCCAAGATGTATACACTGAGTCTGGGACGGGGGGTGTTAGTAATCCAGGAGCGGACTGATTTTCCCCTTTCACACCCTTTAAACATTAGATCCAGCTGCATTATCTTTTCATTTATCCTCCTGTATCAGACTTTATCTTTCACCTCACCTCCGAGTAACTGCTTTCTTCTGCACCAAATTGGAGATGGTCACTATGGTTATTGGTCCTTTAGTCAGCCATCATGGACACCCCCCTCCTACCTTTCTGAGGCACCATTCTTAGTACATGGATTCTATCTTCAAGGTAACCCCATGTTTAATTATGGCTGCTGGAGCTCCAGCCATTATCATAAAGTCCATGCAGACACTAGAAAGAAGGAAAGTAGGATAAGAGAGTACCTCCTAGGTGTCTGTCTTTTGTCAAGAGTTTTCTCAGAAACCAACAATTTCTTTTCTCTCATTGGCTACTCAAGCTGCAAGGAAGCTGGAAAAGTATGGTCATTGAACTGAGCATATATATATGATTTTCCAGAATAAAATTGAGAGAAGAGGAGAATAGTTATCAGCACCCCTAGCATTTCATTATTTTTTTTAACCCTCATTCATTTTTATTTTTAAAAATTTTAAACCCAGGGAAAAGTTACAATGGTATAATGAATAAAGCCTGCAGAAATGTTGCACCAGGAGTACCATGAATACCCAAATCCTCTTACCTAGACTCATCAATTGTTAACATTTGTCACAGTTTTCTTTCATGTTGCATGGTATCCCCAGTAGGGGTTGCTGGGATGGGGTGCCACTTTCTAGCACAACAGTTTCCTGATGCTGCACTGTTGCCTACCCCAACCCTCCTTTACGGCACAGGATAGCAAAGCCCAGGCTTCGGGGTTCTCCTGGCCAGACCTGTGCCTGTGACTTCTCAAGGGCCCTCGATGTTTCTGTTCTCTCGCTCCTGGACAGTGGCATCTCCATTCTCCTCTTCCCCCTCCCCTTCCAAAGGGTATACTGAGAAGAAAGACCAGTGGAAGGGTCTTGGGGAGGACATGGGGAAAACCCTGGCTGTGTGATTAAATACTTCTCACATTCTTACTGTCCAGAGACCTTGGGGTAGGCAGGAAGACAGGCAGACAGGAAGGCAGGCAGGCAGGCAGGCAGGCAGGCAGACAGGCAGACAGGAAGGCAGGCAGGCAGGCAGGCAGGCAGGCAGGCTGGCTGGCTCCCTGCAGGGCAGGCAGGGTACACATCCCACTCCAACAGGAGACCGACAAAGAAGCCTGGACAGAGGATGCCCAGGCTGTGGGAGAGACAAGAATCAATTTGCTGGAGAAAGAGGGAGGGAAATGGGCAATACTTATTGGACACCTACTGTGTGCCAGGTCCTCCTATTATATCATTAAGCACTGAAAACAATCTTTCCTGGTAGGCATCGTTATCCCCATAGTATAGAGGAGGGGATGAAGTGGGGGTGGGGTCACCGGCATCTGTTCTCTTCAGTCACAATGGAGCAGAGATGAGCTGACCATCCTGGGTACTGCCCAAATTGCAGATATGAGCATGATAGATGGTTATCACTGTCTTAGGTCCCTATATTTGGGTTAGTGGTGTATCTATTATGCAGCCATAGATACTGGAACGCCATTCCTCACCTCTCCAGGGTCCACCAAGTACCACGAAGTCTCCTTTTCAATACCTCTTAAATCTACCATCGCCTTTTCACCTTCTCTGCTACCCTTTCTCTGTCACCTGGACTACTGCATGAGTGTCTTCAGCCATGTCCTCCCACTCACTCTGCAGCCACAGGTTCCTGTACAGCTAGAGATCCAGAGATCTCACCCCAGGCCAGCTGCACCTACTCAAAGCACTTGGCTCTGTACTGCTCCTGGGGGTGAGGTTCACCCCCCCACTCCACCCCCATCTTCCGGCTTGAGCCACAGTCTTCCTCTAGCACCCTGTGCTCTCTCTCCCCTACAGACTTGTCACAGATAGTAGTGCACTCACCCTTTAGTTACTGCTCGCTCCTGTTTCAGTCTCAGCTCACGGAATGAACGCCTCTAAGCCAGCTGTTTTCCAAATGGAGTCCCTGACCAGCATCACCAGGGAACTGGCTAGAAATGAATATTCTCAGGCCCAATCTCTGAAACCCCGGGGCAAATGGAGGCCAGCAGTCCTTGATTAACAAGCCCTGCAGGAGGTTCCCATCCACTCATTTGAGAGCTGCAGCTCCAAAGCCCCACTATAGGTCATGGACTGTTACCGTCTCCTCTCCCCAGATTCCTTCTTTCAGAGCTTTGAGCTTGTGAAGACTCAGGCCTTTGTGAGATCATCTGATGAATGTCCTCCCTTAGACCCCTGCACGGGGGTAGGGGTGTGTGTCAGGGATTTGAACCCAGAGCCCTGAATGTGGTAGGCCAGTGTCACACTGCTGAGCTTCCACCCAGCCCTCATCTATTGCTCCTTGTTGCACCCTGGCACCTACCCTGCCAGTGTGTGATTGAGCATGTAGTTGAGCAGATATTAACTGTCCGCCAGCAGCTGGTCGTGAACTCCCCGCAGTGTGGGAAAGGGGAGGGACTGGTCCTTTCATAGCTCTAGAATCCTGAAGGTGGTGGAGGAGAGTATAGGAGATGTGTAAAAACTTGAGGAGGTTATGTCCGCTGCATGAAGAGGGTTGTTCAGAAGGCTAGGAAAGGTGTCCGGAGTCAGGGCTTCTTCCACTTCCCTCCCTAGCTGCCCCACCAACTCTGTAGTCCTCAGCTGACTTCCCTTGAGCAGGGAGCCCCACCTTGTTGCATATTTACATCATCAAAACAACAAGCTTCTGATGTGCGCATTAGCATTCTCATTTTACAGATGGAGAAACAGGTTCAATGAGGTTCAAGGCCAGGGGAGGGCAAGCCTTAAACCCAGACCGCGTGACTGTGGCTCTGTTCCTTGTCGTGAATGACAGCACTCATATGGGGCAGGAGAGGAGGCGGGACTGTGTGGGCTCAAATGGGCCCTTCCACAGGGCAGCACCAGCCATGGGGACGGTGGAAATGGGAGGTGGATGCCCTAGTGGCGCCAGACCTTCCCAAATTCTCAAGAGAAACTCAGAGTAGATCTAGTATAAAATCTCCCTGTTGCTGAATGTTAGCAAACACCGACCCCCAGTACTGGGGATTGAACTCAGGACTGCACATGCTAGGCAGGTGCAGGGTCACTGAGCTAAATCCCCAGCCCTAACAATTATATTTTTAAATAGCTCAGCTGGGTGTGATGATACCTGCCTGTAATCACAGTACTATGGGAGGCTAGAGCAGGAGCATCATAAGTTTGAGGCCAGCTTGTGTAACTGAATGAGACCTTGTCTCAAAATAAAAAGAACCCTGCATCTAGTCACCAAGTTTGACAAAACAAAAACAAAACTCAGAAGCTTCCAGAGATAAAGGCCCACACTCGGATGAGGTTGGGTGGCTGAACAACAGCAGACAGGCGCCCAGACCCCCATGGCTGTGTCAATGCTGCTGCTTCTGCCATCTGTTAGGTAGTCTACTTTAAATTCAGGGGTCACCACCCTCAGTAGGATGCAGACCCCAATATTGACCCTTACCTTCATTTCTCTGGCTCCACTGTGAGAGGCTAGATCTGGTCACAGCTGTGTCCAAGGCCCTAGGCTGCCAGCAGAAGGTGCTCACTAAGTAAATGCTTGCAGATGGACAGTTCTGATAAGCAGCCTCCTTCCCGTGCATGCAGGCTCCTCCCCCTCCCCTGCCCCGGGAAGGTGGGCAGGGTACTGGTGTATTAAAAGCCAGCAGCTGGAAACCCTGTAGATGCTGGGTCCCTAAAGCTTGAGGCTTGGCATGGCTACCTCCTATGCTGTAAGCCAGCTGCCTGACCCTTCTAGGGCAAGAGACCAGCTGGGTGGTGGAAGTAGGGGAGGGGAGTGGCCAGGGCCAGAGCTTACAGCCAGTCCATCCTGATTTTCTTTGGTCAGGTGACTGAAACTGAGGGTGAAGTCAGGGAGAAAAAGGAGGAAGAGGAGAAAGAACAAGAGAAGGCAGAAGTGGGGGATTGCACAGGAGAGAAGGCTCCAAAGTCTCCTGGGACCAGGACTCCGTTATCTCGGAGGGGAAAGGAGAAGGGTGAAGGCCCCGTGGAGGTCAAGCTAGAGCTTCACCCCCTGCAAAACAGGTAGGGAGGAACCTACCATTGGGCTAGCTTGGGGGTTCTCTGGCTGTGTGGTCTTGGACAGCTCCTTGCTCTTTGCCTCAGTTCTGCATGTGAAAGGCCAAAGCTGGCCAAAGCCTCAGATCATTTGGCCCTTCTGGCTTTAACCAGTTGTGATTCTGGGTCTAACACCCCATTCCTCCCCCAAACTTCAGGCTAATGGACTTCTGTTACTTTTTTTGTCCTAAATCTCAACTTCAGCTTGTCCTTGAAGAGAAGTGTGGGGGGGTCCTCCTTGTTAGCCCAGGTGCTGCTGGGGTGGATACGGGGGCACCCTGATTGGCCTTTCCCACCAGATGGGCTCTGTGGTTCTTTAAGAATGACCGAAACCGGGCCTGGCAGGACAACTTGCATCTGGTCACCAAGTTTGACACTGTGGAGGACTTCTGGGCGTGAGTGTCTGCTCTTTGGGATGCCAGAGCCATACCCTTGTAGCTGGGGATTGCTGTGCCACCCTCCCTGGGGTCTTCAGCATTTGTTAATGATGGGGGCTCTGGCCCAGAGCCATTGGGATTGGGGCACAGCCACCCCCGGAAGGGCTTTGGGAAGGAGCCTTGGCTGCCCTTCCATGGCTTTGTTATCTTAGGTAAGTTCCTTCTCTCTGAACCTGTCTTAGCTGAAAAGTTAGCACTAGGATGCCTTGGAATGTTTGTGGGTCAAGAGAGGAGGCACAAGCCCCAAGGGAGGGCTCCTCCTAGCCCCGGGTACAGATTTCATGGGGCTTGGACCAGGGGGAGGCTCCAAGGAGAAGGTGGGCTTTCAGGATTTGGTAAATAGGGATGCAATTCTGGGTAGCAGCACCCAAGTAAGCAAAAGCTGGGAGATCCGAAAGGCAAGAGAAACAGTGGGTCTAGTGAGGAAATGGGAAGGTGGAGGCCAACTAGGCCCCTAAAAACATTGGCTTTCAGCATTGGCGGGGTGCTGGTGGGTGGTCTCTCTCTTCAGGATGTACAGTCACATCCAACTGGCTAGTAAACTCTCTCCTGGCTGTGACTACGCCCTGTTCAAGGTAAGCTCTGCTCTCAAGTCCCCAGCCCCACTCCCCCAGAGGATAGGGGGCCGAATTTCCCAACTTGGGTCGCTTCCTCTCTCACAGGGAATTTGCGGGTGGGGAAGCAGAGACAGCCTAGATCAGGGCAGGGTGTGATATCTGATTGGAGGAGCTTCAATGCAGAAGCCCAGATAGGACAAAGTATCAGACCTGAGCTGCACCTGAAGGTTGCTTAAAAGAATCTAGAAAGGGAATGGGCACAGGGGTGCTAGGGGAGAGTCCAGATCTCTGGTCTTTACTAGGACAGGCATCCGTATGGCCTGACATCAGTGTTTAAAGATCCTCCCAAATGACTTATGCCCAGAAAGGTTTGGGGACCAAGCAGCCAAGCCTGGAGTGTCCACTCTTGCCCATGGTGATGTCCACCTCAGAGGATTCCTGAAGCCACTGTTTGAACTCTTAAGGAATTTAATTCATTGAAGTGGACAAAGGTGCACGTAGAGAAGGCTATAAAAGGCTCCGGGGCCTGGGGCACTCAGAAGGGGAGCTCCTGGTGGTTGGTAGTGGCATCTGTGTATGCAGAGTGGACGGCGTTAAGAGAGAAGCTGGTCTACTAGGGCAGAGGGCAGATAAAGCTGCAGGTAAGAAAGCTGGGTCCCCACTTCCCTTTGAACAAAGGGAGGCAGTTGATCTGTCATCCTGCCTTGCAGGACAGCATCGAGCCCATGTGGGAAGACAGCAGGAATAAGCGGGGTGGCCGCTGGCTGGTCAGTCTTGCCAAACAGCAGCGCCACAGTGAGTTGGACCGTCTGTGGCTGGAGACAGTGAGTGGTGGAACTGGTAGGGGGTGTCCCCAGGGGAAGAGGCAGAGCCTAGTGTGGGTCTCCAGGTTGCAGTGGTCTCAGGGTGGCCAGGGTGACCCCTATGCCCCAGGTGGAGGTCTCAATCTCTGCTTGGGCACAGTTGCTATGTCTGATCGGGGAGAGCTTTGAGGAGCACAGCAAAGAAGTGTGTGGTGCTGTCATCAACATCCGAACCAAGGGGGACAAGATCGCTGTGTGGACAAGGGAGGCAGAGGACCAGGCCAGCGTGCTGCACATTGGGTGAGGGCTGGATCCCTTCTAGGGAGCAGGAGGGTGGGGGTAGCTTGGCCCACAAGGGAGACCCTTGGAACTCTTCTCCACTTCCCTTCTTCCTTACTCATCTGTAGATTTAGGTTCTAAACTACTAGCAGTATACTCTTGCATCAGAGTCCTATTTTGAGTTTCTGCATGGGTAAAATACACACACACACACACACACCAGAAGTAGCTGCAACCAGGGTAGGAATTCAGGGGGCAAAAGATCTGAGCCCAGGTTACCTCCAGGACCCTTTGCTGACTGTTTCCCTTCCTCCGTGCCCTATCCTCCAGGCGTATATACAAAGAGCGCCTGGGCCTCTCCATGAAGACTGTCATTGGGTATCAGGCCCACATCGACACAGCCACCAAGAGCAACTCTTTAGCCAAGAATAAGTTTGTGGTGTGAGAGGCCCTTGGCACTACTTAGTCAGTGGGGCAGCCACCCCTGACTTTCTTAGTGCCGTGGGGTGTATGGGGAAAGGAGGGGCTGAACTGTTGTTTCTGGGCAGGACTGGAAGACCGATAACCTGGTTTTACCTGTTCTGAAGTAGGTATGAACACCTTTTTTTTGTTCGAGGTTTGTTTGTTCCTAAACACTTGGGCTGAAGCGATAGTCCTGTATCAGCCTGCTAAGTAGCTTGGACCATAGGGACTTGCCACTTTGGCTTCAAACGAACAGTCCTTACAGGAGTTGGGACCCGGCCTAGAGGCAGGGTAGTGGCGGTGGCAGCAGTCTGAGATCCTAGCCTTGCTTGAGGCCACAGGGCCATAGAAGGTTGGAGAAAACTCCTGGGTTTGCTTGTCATACCCTGGGGTCTGAGGGTGGAGAAAGAAGAGCTTTTTGTCCTCTCCTCTGTGGATAGGACCTTCCAGCTGGAGCCAGTGCTGCCTGTGCCTCTCCTGCTTTAGGGCTAGACTGAAGAAGTGGGTAGACCAGCCCCAGACCCCAGGACAGGAGCTAGGTGGTGGCTAAGGTCTCACCCTGGTTTTGTTAGTGGTGGATTCACTTGAAAATGATGTCCTTAAACCCCTTTCTGTACCTGAAATAAATACTTCTGAACAAGCTTGGAATTATTTTTTGGGGAGAGCTCTAACTAAAATTTGGAGTAAGATTCGGTTTCACGCAAGTTTCCATCTGCCCTGTCCTGGGGCTCATGTGAGACTCCCAAGCACCAAGCCAGGGGAGGACCAAAACTGGTGTGGGGGAAGAGTGAAAGAAAGACCCGGAGCCCTCCAATGCCAAGGGGTGAGTGACTGGCGCCCGTTAGAATGAAGGGACAAGAACAATAGGCATGGCACTCACAAGACCCACATTGTCGTCGTTTGGGCCAGTTATCGGTAGAGCTGAATTTCTGAGTGAAATGTGATCTGATTAGACTCCCATTGTAATTGCGCGTGCTGACGTGTGTTAACTCAATCCAGATTCCCATCCGCTCACGCAAGCGGCAGGTACAGCTTCTAGGGGGTGGGCAGAGGCCTGGGAACGCCGGGACTGACCCCGCGGTGACCAGCGTCTGTAGCTGGCGTCTCTGGCGGGTCTGAAGGAAGCCGGGAGACGGCACGCCCGCAGTCTCCAGCACTGAGAGGCGGGACTCCGAGCTGACAGGGTCATGTGGGGGCGGAGCCTTGGCGAGGCGG